CTTTCCTCTGTAGTCTCTCTATAAGATGAGGGAAAGGCTGGGGCAGCGGTGAAGCAAGCCTCGGTGGGCAGTGGGGAGGAAGAAGGGAGAATGAAGGTTTAGCAGTTTTGTGACAAAGAGGAGTAGAATGGACTTTGACATGCTTGCCAACTGGCCTTGCATGTTACAGTTATGGGATGCTAGAGACACAAGCACCCCTCTCATTCTCTGCACTGCCCCTCCCCAGCCTCCGGCAACAGGTATCACTTGCTGAACAGGCCCTGCTGGGAGGGCCTGGGTGGGGGAGGGGCTATCGGGCCATCTGAGCCAGACTCTGGGTCATGGAACTGGAGACACTGTTGGCAGAGTGGCCGGGTGCCGTCCCCTGAAACATTTATGCTGGGGGAGAGCAAAGGTGGTGTCATGTTCCCTTCCTCAGTGCTGGGGAAGGGAAGATGAGCCAAGGGAGAGATGGGGGGTGGGGGACGGGTGGTGGTGTCCCACAGCCAGCAGCTGGGAGATGCATCTATTTGATGAGGCCTTGACTGGTTAGCTTGACCTTGCCAAGAAGCCTGAGACCAAGGAAGGGAGCAGGAGAAGGGAAACCTTCACAACGTTAGAGCTCTGGATGCCCGGTCTAGGCTGTGTGATCCCAGCTCCTAGCAACGCGGCAGGGCCAGTTGCTTGTCTCTGGGAATCTTGGTAACCTCATCTGTATGATGTAGCAGCAGAACCTCTGCACGGCTCTTGCAAGGACGGGATGATGCAATGCATGCAAAACATGGTTCTCACTCACTGAGGGTCGGGTGGGGGCTCTGCCCTCACTGTGCTCTCTGGAACCCAGGCTGATCGAGCATCACCTGTCACTGGAGAAGGAGAGGGGGCTCCGGAAGGTCTCCCCCAAGCTGTTAAATGCTCTGGCCTAGAAATGCGCACATACCAGGCTGATCTCATACCAACAGGGGGAGCGCACAGGTTTTACCAAAGAGCTCTGGGAGGGTCCCCCAACATTAAATATCTTCCTGAAACACTTCTCAGTTTGTCGCTAAGTCTGAAATGTCACCACCAAACACATTCAGCTCTTCGGAGATGTCACAACCTGGGAGTAGAGGAAATGAACGTTGAAGTCGAGAGAGTCAGGAGCCATGAGAAGGCACTTGGCTTCTCTGAGACCTCAGTTTTCTAACCTTACAAATGGGACATTACTACATGGCCTTCACAGAACTATTTTCAGGTCAAGAGAAACATGCAGGATGAAGTATTTTGTGATCTAGAAAAGAAGTACATATATGACTTCCTCCTGTAAACAAATCAAAGGAAGGCGGATGGACTTGGGGGGGAGGTGGACCTGGATCGCACACATCCCTGTGCACTCGTTTGACCCGCTGGCCTTCCTCTCGGAGCTAGCCGAGCCACGTTAGGTGACGCTGGGTCCTGTGAGGCGCTTTGTGAGGGGTGCCCGGGTAGGCGCAGCCTTGTGACCAGAGAGCCTCAGGCCTGTGGAGCGGGGCCCGGGTCGGAAAGGGCCCCCTGGCCGGCATGGCGGCTGTGCTCGGGGTCACCCCAGTCACATCCCAGGATTGTGTCACCTGTCTGTGCAGCGTGGGGAGGCCGGCAGAAGCGGGGGCAGGCGGGGAGTGGGCTCTGGGGCTGTGAACACTGTCACAGACGGGTAACAGATGGGCTCGGGGCCAAGTATGTGCGGCCCTGTGCTGAGCGCCTTTCCAGTCCTGACTCACTGGACTCTCACTGCAAGGCAAACAGTTGGGTATTGTTATCACCCCCACTTTACAAACAAGGAAACTGAGGCAAAAAGCGTAAGTAGCTCGCTGGAGTCACAGCTGGTTAGCCCAGAGTTGGGCTGGCAGTGAGCTGTTCCTACTGAGACAGCCACCCACCCGGAGGAGAGCTTTCAAAGCAGGGGTCCCGAGCCCACACTGACCTGGAACCAGCGCTTTAAACGAATATGCCAGGGGATTCTCAAATTCAGGAAGTGTGGGCAGCTGCACGGTGCTGCCCTGGAGGGTGAGGAGACCTGATGCTTGAACAGAAGGTTCATGAGGAAGCAGGCAGAGCCGGGCTGGACTTCTGTACTCAGTGAATCTAAGATCCCTGGGCTGAAGGACACACCACTGCCCTTCCTGCTGTAATAAGTGATGGCCTGACCTTTCTCACCACGGGTTTCAGAGATGTTGAAATGTGAACAAAGGTATGTCTTAGGAGTGATGAGTTCTCTGGGCCGGGACCGGATTTTGGAGGCCGGGTGAGCCAGCTGAGCTTGGTGGGACCCCTTGTCCTGTGCAGAACCCGCCCTGGGCTCGGAGCCGCTCCCTGCTGCTCCCGCGGCTCCCGGTAGCTGCCGGTGTCCTGCAAGGATGGCAGGAGCTGCCTGTTGCCTCTCAAGGCTGTTAGCACAAGGAGAAGGGAGGTGGCAAGATGACAGCAGTGCGAGGCTGGTGCGGGCTGAGCACTCAGCCCACACACCCGCCCTCTGCCCCTTCAGCCACAGGCCTGATGATTGGCTGCCTGGTCTACCCAGACGGCTGGGACTCCAGTGAGGTGCGGCGCATGTGCGGGGAGCAGACGGGCAAGTACACGCTGGGCCACTGCACCATCCGCTGGGCCTTCATGCTGGCCATCCTCAGCATCGGAGATGCCCTCATCCTGTCCTTCCTGGCCTTCGTGCTGGGCTACCGGCAGGACAAGCTGCTCCCGGACGACTACAAGGCCGATGGACAAGGTAACGCTCCCCAGGGAGGTGGGGCTTCCTCCCAGCCAGTCACCTGGGCTGGGCCCTGGCCCAGAGATGGGGACACAGCCCTTGTCTCAGGCAAATAAAATGCGGAGGGCTGCAATCCGGGCAGTGCTGTGGGGCAGAGGCTGTCTGATGTAAA